AGGCAGACCGCTCTGTACTAGGGACAGGGACAGAGTTAGGGCCACAGAAACGATACTTGGGGACAGAGAAAAGTTACTTAGGGACAGAGAACCATTACTCAGGGACACAGAATTGTTAATGAGGGCCACAGAATCGTTACTTAGGGACAAAGAAACGCTAGTTAGGGCCACAGAATTCATACTCAGGGACAGACAGAATTGTTACTGAGTGCCAGAGAATTGTTACTTAGGGCCACAGAAACGTTATTAGGGCCACAGAATTGTTACTCAGGGACAGACAGAATTGTTACTGAGTGCCAGAGAATTGTTACTCAGGGACAGACAGAATTGTTACTGAGTGCCAGAGAATTGTTACTTAGGGCCACAGAAACTTTAGTTAGGGCCACAGAATTGTTACTCGCACAGACACAGAATTGTTACTCGCACAGACACAGAATTGTTACTGAGGGCCACAGAACTGTTACTTAGGGCCACAGAATTGTTACTCGCACAGACACAGAATTGTTACTCAGGGCCACAGAACTGTTACTGAGGGCCACAGAACTGTTACTTAGGGCCACAGAATTCTTACTCGCACAGACACAGAATTGTTACTCACAGGCACAGACACAGAATTGTTACTGAGGGCCACAGAACTGTTACTTAGGGCCACAGAATTGTTACTCGCACAGACACAGAATTGTTACTCAGGGCCACAGAACTGTTACTGAGGGCCACAGAACTGTTACTTAGGGCCACAGAATTGTTACTCGCACAGACACAGAATTGTTACTCGCACAGACACAGAATTGTTACTCAGGGCCACAGAACTGTTACTGAGGGCCACAGAACTGTTACTCGCACAGACACAGAATTGTTACTCAGGGACACAGAACTGTTACTGAGGGCCACAGAACTGTTACTTAGGGCCACAGAATTGTTACTCGCACAGACACAGAATTGTTACTCAGGGACACAGAATTGTTTACTGAGGGCCACAGAACCGTTACTTAGGGCCACAGAATTGTTAATCAGGGACACAGAATTGTTACTGAGGGCCACAGAACCTGTTACTTGGGGCCACATAAACGTTAATCAGGGACACAGAATTGTTACTGAGGGCCACACAGAACCGTTACTTGGGGCCACAGAAACGTTAATCAGGGACACAGAATTGTTACTGAGGGCCACAGAACTGTTACTTGGGGCACACAGAAACGTTAATCAGGACACAGAATTGTTACTGAGGGCCACAGAACTGTTACTTAGGGCCACAGAATTGTTACTCGCACAGACACACAGAATTGTTTTAGGGCCACAGGTTACTTAGGGCCACAGAACTGTTACTGAGGGCCACAGAATTGTTACTTAGGGCCACAGAATTGTTACTCGCACAGACACAGAATTGTTACTGAGGGCCACAGAACTGTTACTTAGGGCCACAGAATTGTTACTCGCACAGACACAGAATTGTTACTCAGGGCACAGAAGAATTGTTACTGAGGGCCACAGAACTGTTACTGAGGGCCACAGAACTGTTACTTAGGGCCACAGAATTGTTACTCGCACAGACACAGAATTGTTACTCAGGGACACAGAATTGTTACTCAGGGACACATAATCGTTGAATTAAAGAGTATGTCAGACAACATGCAGAGGAGTGGCAGAGGAGGCAATGTTTTAGGAGCGAGCAGACGTGGCAGCAGAGGAAGGGGTCGAGGCAGCACTATTCGCAGCCAGAGGCCAGTGCTCCCGGTGTCATCCAGCGGTCGTGTCTCCACCGACAACCCTGCCGTCATTGATTGGTTGGCTCGGTCGTCTTCCTCTTCCCAGGTCACCTCTGACACCTACAGCCAACGGTCGGTGGGTACGTCAGACACAACCGTTAGTTGGCATGGCCCGGGAGCAAGCCCACTGAAATCACATGCTCTACCTGCCCCTGTCCTTTGCTGTTCCCTCACCAAGCGAAGTATCGCATGCTGTGGGCTCAGCCCCACTGTACAGTGAGGAAGAGCTAACAGAGGGCGGTCAGGAACGGGGGGAGACATCGGCCTTTTCAGCAGCCAGGCGAACAAGTACTGGCGAGGAGAGTGGCTCGGTAGCCGGTCTAGAGACAGGTCTGTCTCCTGACCCCCACACGCAGCCGAGGGGGCTAGTAGTGAGGCGGAGACCGTACTTGATGATGAGGAGGTTGATCGCACTTGGCTGCCTCGTCGTCATCAGGCAATTTCTTCCGCATCATCAGGAGAAGAGGGTGCCAGCTTGGCAGCGAGCGAAACAGTCGGTGGGTTGCCCAGGAGGCAGCAGGGTCGCATCAGTGTCAGTGGAGCCAAACGTCCACGGAGTAGAGCACCAGCTCCACTGCAGCCTACCACCACGGCCAGTAGTGGTGCCGGTGCGCACGGAGGAAGTAGCAGTCAGCCAGTGAGGAGTAGCGGGGGCAAAGTTTCCTACTCGGTGGTGTGGCAATTTTTCGTCAAGCCGCCCGAGGAAGTAAACGTAGCCGTATGTCGACTATGTGGCCAGAAATGCAAGCGTGGCCAGGGGGCCCATGTTGGGACTACAGCGTTGCGTCAGCATATGCAGCGTCACCATTCGGTGGCCTGGGAAAACCGTGATAAAGATACGGCGGTTTCTGCCTGCCCCAGCCCCCGCTCCCATCACCCGCTCCGTTACTTGCTCCGTCACCCGACGTCGTCAATCGCCCTCTATCAGCCAGTCAAGGCTCCAACACCTCTGCTGAGGGGAGTTGTCGCTCGTTGGCATCTTCCGCTCGTTCAGATGCTCCTTCTCCTGCTACTCCTCTTCTCGGATTCCGTCAACAGTCTTTCTTGGAATCCGTTTCCAAGAGACAACAGTTTGCGAGCACACGCACCCGACGGTGCAAAAGCTGAACGTCCTCCTGTCCAAGTTGCTGGTGCTGCAGTCCCTCCCTTTCCAACTGGTGGACTCAGCACCTTTCCGAGAAATGATGGCTTGTGCCGCGCCGCGGTGGAGAGTGCCAAGCCGTCATTTCTTCGCCAAAAAGGCAGTGCCAGCCCTGCATTCACATGTAGAAGAGATGGTGGGCCAGTCTTTGAGCATGTCGGTCTCTGCCAAAGTGCACGGCAGCGCCGACGTGTGGAGCTGTAACTACGGTCAGGGACAGTACATGTCATTTACGGCCCACTGGGTGAACGTGGTGCCGGCACAGCCGCACCAGCAACTTGGACAGGTCACGACGCTTTTGCCTCCACGTTTGCACGTCCTTGGTCCAGCAAACATGTCCGCCTCTACCACCTCTTTTTCCGCCGTGTCCTCAGCCGCCACCCCCCGTGCCAAGTCCCATTACCCGACCGGCATATCACATGTGCAGGGCGCAACGGTGTCACGCTGTGCTGCACCTGGTATGCCTTGGCGAACGTAGTCACACAGGGGAGGAACTTCTGAGTGTAATGAACAGAGAAATCGACAGATGGCTGTCTCCGCGCAAACTGAAAATCGGAACCATGTTGACCGACAACGGAAAGAACATGGTGTCTGCTCTGCGTCAAGGAAGGTTGTGCCATGCGCCATGCATGGCTCACGTGTTCAATCTGGTTGTCAAGCGGTTCCTAAAATCCACCATCCCACTGCAAGACATCCTTAAAATGTCACGTAAACTGTGCATGCATTTCAGCCATTCCTACACCGCAAAGAACACCCTCATTGAGCTGCAGCGGCAGAACGGAATTCCACAGCATCGCCTGATCTGCGACGTTGCAACAAGGTGGAATTCAACCCTACACATGTTAGACCGCCTTTACGAGCAGCGAAAGGCCATCACCGATTTCCTGATGTTACAAGGCGGATAAAGGTACTCCCCTGTGTAACTTCGATGTCAGCCATTGGCAGCTCATGCGTGACACCTGCCGCTTGCTCAGGCCCTTTGAGGAGGCCACGCTATTCGTGAGTCGGCAGGACTATGGGATGAACGACGTCATTCCTCTGTTGCACGTCCTGGAACAAATGCTGTTAACAATGGCTGGTCAGGGTGCGGTAGACGTGGCGCACAGAGATCTCAACGCCACATGACCCCTGTGGGGCCAGGACAGGAAGAAGAGAGGAGGTAGAGGTAGAGGAGGACATTTGTGCTCAGGAATTATTGAGTGAAATGGGTGGTTTTTCCACTCAGCGGACAGGAGTGGAGGAGCAGGAGCATCTGGTAGAGGAGGAGGAGGAGGAGGAGACAGAGGACCCAGACGCACCGTGGCAGTATGCTGTGGAGATGGAGGCAGGGAGTCCCTCGCATTCCTTGGCGCAAATGGCCCATAGCATGCTCGGTTGCTTGCGTAGCGACAGCCGAATAATAACCATCAGACAGAGGGATGACTTTTGGCTGTCCACCTTGTTGGACCCTCGCTATCGTTCCAAAATGGTGGCCTTTTTCACACCTGCTGAGAGGGAGGCCAAAATTACGTACTATAAAAACCACCTATGTAGTCAGTTGGTCTCTGCCTTTGTGCGCCAACGTCCATCCTCAGACACTGTGGGCCCTGTGCGCTCGCGTTCCGCTGCCATGGCAGCAGGGGAGGGGTGGGGTGGTAGGAGCAGTGGCAGCTCCACCAGCAGCGGCTGCCTCAGTCTGCAGTCGATGATGAGTAGCTTTCTTCACCAGCGCAGTGAGGAAACTACTAACCAGCCGCGCAGCAGCAGCAGCAGCATCAGGTGGACCTGGAGCAGGAGCTCAAACAACAGGCTTGGGCCTACTTGGACAGCACCCTGCCAACCGAGGTAGACAATCCCCTTGACTACTGGGGCAACGAAACTTGACCTTTGGCCCCAACTAGCTGAATTTGCCCTTGAAAGGCTGTCATGCCCGGCCAGTAGCGTGGCATCGGAGCGCGTGTTTAGTGCGGCAGGAGGTATTGTAACTCCGCGGAGGACACGACTGTCCACCCAAAGTGTGGAGAGACTCACGTTTGTGAAAATGAATCAGGCGTGGATTAGTCTGGATTTCAAACCACCAGTTCCTGACACAACTGACTAAATCCGCCATGAATCATGCCCCCTGCCATGTGCCACTTTCAGGTCTCCTCACACACTGCTGGTGTGTTCCATTTTTTGTCATAGGGGTGCTGGCAGATTACGGGCCTCCCATTGCTGCTGTCTCCATCGCCACACTCTGCCATGTGCCACTTTCAGGTCTCTTCACACTGCTGGTGTGTTGAATTTTTTGACATAGGGTGCTGGCAGATTACGGGCCTCCCATAGCTGCTGCCAGGCCCCTAATCTGCCATGGGCCCCTATATACCGCCTCCTCATGCTGCTGCCAAGTCCAGAGTCTCTCATGGGTCCCTGTACGGCCCTCCCATTGCTGCTGTCTCCATCGCCACACTCTGCCATGTGCCACTTTCAGGTCTCTTCACACTGCTGGTGTGTTGAATTTTTTGACATAGGGTGCTGGCAGATTACGGGCCTCCCATAGCTGCTGCCAGGCCCCTAATCTGCCATGGGCCCCTATATACCGCCTCCTCATGCTGCTGCCAAGTCCAGAGTCTCTCATGGGTCCCTGTACGGCCTCCCATTGCTGCTGTCTCCATCGCCACACTCTGCCATGTGCCACTTTCAGGTCTCTCTCTTCACACTGCTGGTGTGTTGAATTTTTTGACATAGGGTGCTGGCAGATTACGGGCCTCCCATAGCTGCTGCCAGGCCCCTAATCTGCCATGGGCCCCTATATACCGCCTCCTCATGCTGCTGCCAAGTCCAGAGTCTCTCATGGGTCCCTGTACGGCCTCCCATTGCTGCTGTCTCCATCGCCACACTCTGCCATGTGCCACTTTCAGGTCTCTTCACACTGCTGGTGTGTTGAATTTTTTGACATAGGGTGCTGGCAGATTACGGGCCTCCCATAGCTGCTGCCAGGCCCCTAATCTGCCATGGGCCCCTATATACCGCCTCCTCATGCTGCTGCCAAGTCCAGAGTCTCTCATGGGTCCCTGTACGGCCTCCCATTGCTGCTGTCTCCATCGCCACACTCTGCCATGTGCCACTTTCAGGTCTCTCACACACTGCTGGTGTGTTGAATTTTTTGACATAGGGTGCTGGCAGATTACGGGCCTCCCATAGCTGCTGCCAGGCCCTAATCTGCCATGGGCCCCTATATATACCGCCTCCTCATGCTGCTGCCAAGTCCAGAGTCTCTCATGGGTCCCTGTACGGCCTCCCATTGCTGCTGTCTCCATCGCCACACTCTGCATGTGCCACTTTCAGGTCTCTTCACTGCTGCTGTGTGTTGAATTTTTTGACATAGGGTGCTGGCAGATTACGGGCCTCCCATAGCTGCTGCCAGGCCCCTAATCTGCCATGGGCCCCTATATATACCGCCTCCTCATGCTGCTGCCAAGTCCAGAGTCTCTCATGGGTCCCTGTACGGCCTCCCATTGCTGCTGTTTCCATCGCCACACTCTGCCATGTGCCACTTTCAGGTCTCTTCACACTGCTGGTGTGTTGAATTTTTTGACATAGGGTGCTGGCAGATTACGGGCCTCCCATAGCTGCTGCCAGGCCCCTAATCTGCCATGGGCCCCTATATACCGCCTCTTCATGCTGCTGCCAGGTCCAGAGTGTCTCATGGGTCCCTGTACGGCCTCCCATTGCTGCTGTCTCCAGGAGGCACAGGGTCTGCAGCATGTGTCAGTGGAGGCAAACGGCCACGGAGTAGAGCACCAGCTCCACTGCAGCCACCTGCCAGTAGTGGTGCCGGTGTGCACGGAGGAAGTAGCAGTCAGCCAGTGAGGAGTAGCGGGGGCAAAGTTTCCTACTCTGCGGTGTGGCAATTTTTCGTCAAGCCGCCCGAGGAAGTAAACGTGCCTAATGTCGACTATGTGGCCAGAAAGTCAAGCGTGGCCAGGGGCCCATGTTGGGACTACAGGCCCCTGTACGCCAGCATGCTGCATCGTCGCCATTCGGTGGCCTGGGAAAAACGTGTGATAAAGATACGGCGGTTCTGCCTGCCCCAGCCCAGGGTTCCATTTTGTCATAGGGTGCTGGCAGATTACGGGCCTCCCATAGGTGCCGCCAGGCCCCATATCGGCCATGGGCCCCCGTACCGCCTGGTCACGCTGCTGCTGAGTCCCACAGTGTGACCTGGGTCCCTGTACGGCCTCCCATTGCTTCCACTCTGCCTGCCATGTGCCACTTTGAGGTCTCCTCACACTCCTGCGGTTTTTCATTTTTGTCATAGGTTGCTGGCAGATTAGCGCCGGCCTCCATAGGTGCCGCCAGGCCCCATATCGGCCATGGGCCCCCCGTACCGCCTGGTCACGCTGCTGCTGGCCCACAGTGTGACCTGGGTCCCTGTACGGCCTCCCATTGCTTCCACTCTGCCACTGTGCCACTTTCAGGTCTCCTCACACTCCTGTGCTTTTCCATTTTGACATAGGTTGCTGGCAGATTACAGGCCTTCCATAGGTTCCGCCAGGCCCCATATCGGCCATGGGCCCCCGTACCTCCTGGTCACGCTGCTGCTGGCCCACAGTGTGACCTGGGTCCCTGTACGGCCTCCCATTGCTTCCACTCTGCCATGTGCCACTTTGAAATCTCCTCACACTCCTGTGGGTTTTCCATTTTGACATAGGTGCTGGCAGATTACGGGCCTTCCATAGTTGCCCAGCCAGGCCCCATAATCGGCCATGGGCCCCCGTACCGCCTGGTCACGCTGCTGCTGAGCCCACAGTGTGACCTGGGTCCCTGTACGGCCTCCCATTGCTGCTTCCACTCTGCCATGTGCCACTTTGAGGTCTCCTCACACTCCTGTGCTTTTCCATTTTTTGACATAGGTTGCTGGCAGATTACAGGCCTTCCATAGGTTCCGCCAGGCCCCATATCGGCCATGGGCCCCCGTACCTCCTGGTCACGCTGCTGCTGGGCCCACAGTGTGACCTGGGTCCCTGTACGGCCTCCCATTGCTTCCACTCTGCCATGTGCCACTTTGAAATCTCCTCACACTCCTGCGGTTGTCCATTTTGTCATAGGTTGCTGGCAGATTACAGGCCTTCCATAGGTGCCGCCAGCCAGGCCCCCATATCGGCCATGGGCCCCCGTACGCCTGGTCACGCTGCTGCTGCTGTCCCACAGTGTGACCTGGGTCCCTGTACGGCCTTCCCATTGCTTTCCACTCTGCCATGTGCCACTTTGAGGTCTCCTCACACTCCTGTGCTTTTCCATTTTGACATAGGTTGCTGGCAGATTAGCGGCCTTCCATAGGTTCCGCCAGGCCCCATATCGGCCATGGGCCCCCGTACCTCCTGGTCACGCTGCTGCTGGCCCACAGTGTGACCTGGGTCCCTGTACGGCCTCCCATTGCTTCCACTCTGCCATGTGCCACTTTGAGAAATCTCCTCACACTCCTGCGGTTTTCCATTTTGTCATAGGTTGCTGGCAGATTACGGCCTTCCATAGGTGCCGCCAGGCCCCATATCGGCCATGGGCCCCCGTACCGCCTGGTCACGCTGCTGCTGGTCCCACAGTGTGACCTGGGTCCCTGTACGGCCTCCCATTGCTTCCACTCTGCCATGTGCCACTTTGAAATCTCCTCACACTCCTGCGGTTTTCCATTTTGTCATAGGTTGCTGGCAGATTACAGGCACTCCTGGGGTTTGTCCATTTTGTCATAGGTTGCTGGGGATTACAGGGGGGGGGGGGGGTGGGCCAGGGGGGGGGGGGGGGGGGGGGGGGGGGGGGGGGGGGGGGGGGGGGGGGGGGGGGCTGGGGGGGGGGGGGTGGGGGGGGGGTCCCTGTACGGCCTCCCATTGGGGGGGGGGGGGGCCATGTGGCCACTTTGGGGGGGGGGGGGGGGGGGGGGGGGGGCAGTTTGGGGGGGGGGGGGGGGGGGTGGGGGGGGGGGGGGGGGGGGGGGGGGGGGGGGGCCATGGGGGGGGGGGGGGGGGGGGGGGGGGGTGGGGGGGGGGTGGGGGGGGGGGGTGGGGGGGGGGGGGGGGGGGGGGGGGGGGGGGGGGGGGGGGGGGGGGGGGGGGGGGGGGGGGGGGGGGGGGGGGGGGGGGGGGGGGGGGGGGGGGGGGGGGGGGGGGGGGGGGGGGGGGGGGGGGGGGGGGGGGGGGGGGGGGGGGGGGTGGGGGGGGGGGGGGGGGGGGGGGGGGGGGGGGGGGGGGGGGTGGGGGGGGGGGGGGGGGGTGGTGTGTCCATTTGACATAGGGCTGGCAGGCGGCCTTCCATAGGGGTTCCGCCAGGGGGTATCGGCCATGGGCCCCCCGTTGAAAGCCTGGTCACGGGGGCTGCTGCTTGAGCTGGGTCCCACACAGTGGGGTGACCTGGGTCCCTGTACGGCCTCCCATTGCTTCCACTCTGCCATGTGGTTATGTTTGAAATCTCCTCACACTCCTGCTTGTCCATTTTGTCATAGGGGTTGCTGGCAGATTACAGGCCTTCCATAGGTTCCGCCAGGGCCCCATATCGGCCATGGGCCCCCGTACCTCCTGGTCACGCTGCTGCTGAGCCCACAGTGTGACCTGGGTCCCTGTACGGCCTCCCATTGCTTCCACTCTGCCATGTGCCACTTTGAGGTCTCCTCACACTCCTGCGCTTTTCCATTTTGACATAGGTTGCTGGCAGATTACAGGCGGACTTCCATAGGTTCCGCCAGGCCCCATATCGGCCATGGGCCCCCGTACCGCCTGGTCACGCTGCTGCTGAGGGCCCACAGTGTGACCTGGGTCCCTGTACGGCCTCCCATTGCTTCCACTCTGCCATGTGCCACTTTGAAATCTCCTCACACTCCTGCGGTTTTCCATTTTGACATAGGTTGCTGGCAGATTCCAGGCCTTCCATAGGTTCCGCCAGGCCCCATATCGGCCATGGGCCCCCGTACCTCCTGGTCACGCTGCTGCTGGGCCCACAGTGTGACCTGGGTCCCTGTACGGCCTCCCATTGCTTCCACTCTGCCATGTGCCACTTTGAGGTCTCCTCACACTCCTGCGGTTTCCATTTTGTCATAGGTTGCTGGCAGATTAGCGGCCTTCCATAGGTTCCGCCAGGCCCCATATCGGCCATGGGCCCCCGTACCTCCTGGTCACGCTGCTGCTGGCCCACAGTGTGACCTGGGTCCCTGTACGGCCTCCCATTGCTTCCACTCTGCCATGTGCCACTTTGAAATCTCCTCACACTCCTGCGGTTGTCCATTTTGTCATAGGTTGCTGGCAGATTAGCGGCCTTCCATAGGTGCCGCCAGGCCCCAAATCGGCCATGGGCCCCCGTACCGCCTGGTCACGCTGCTGCTGGGCCCACAGTGTGACCTGGGTCCCTGTACGGCCTCCCATTGCTGCTGCCAGGAGGCAGCAGGGTCGCAGCTGTGTCAGTGGAGGCAAACGGCCACGGAGTAGAGCAGCAGCTCCACTGCAGCCTACCACCACAGCCAGTAGTGGTGCCGGTGTGCACGGAGGAAGTAGCAGTCAGCCAGTGAGAGTAGCGGGTGCAAAGTTTCCTACTCGGCGGTGTGGCAAGTTTTCGTCAAGCCGCCCGAGGAAGTAAACGTAGCCTAATGTCGACTATGTGGCCAGAAAGTCAAGCGTGGCCAGGGGGCCCATGTTGGGACTACAGCGTTGCGTCAGCAGCATATGCAGCGTCGCCATTCGGTGGCCTGGGAAAAACGTGATAAAGATACGGCGGTTCTGCCTGCCCCAGCCCAGGGTTCCATTTTGTCATAGGGTGCTGGCAGATTACGGGCCTCCCATAGGTGCCGCCAGGCCCCAAATCGGCCATGGGCCCCCGTACCGCCTGGTCACGCTGCTGCTGGGCCCACAGTGTGACCTGGGTCCCTGTACGGCCTCCCATTGCTTCCACTCTGCCATGTGCCACTTTGAAATCTCCTCACACTCCTGCGGTTGTCCATTTTGTCATAGGTTGCTGGCAGATTACAGGCCTTCCATTGGTGCCGCCAGGCCCCATATCGGCCATGGGCCCCCGTACCGCCTGGTCACGCTGCTGCTGAGCCCACAGTGTGACCTGGGTCCCTGTACGGCCTCCCATTGCTTCCACTCTGCCATGTGCCACTTTGAAATCTCCTCACACTCCTGCGGTTTTCCATTTTGTCATAGGTTGCTGGCAGATTAGCGGCCTTCCATAGGTGCCGCCAGGCCCCATATCGGCCATGGGCCCCCGTACCGCCTGGTCACGCTGCTGCTGAGCCCACAGTGTGACCTGGGTCCCTGTACGGCCTCCCATTGCTTCCACTCTGCCATGTGCCACTTTGAAATCTCCTCACACTCCTGCGGTTGTCCATTTTGTCATAGGTTGCTGGCAGATTACAGGCCTTCCATAGGTGCCGCCAGGCCCCATATCGGCCATGGGCCCCCGTACCGCCTGGTCACGCTGCTGCTGAGCCCACAGTGTGACCTGGGTCCCTGTACGGCCTCCCATTGCTTCCACTCTGCCATGTGCCACTTTGAGGTCTCCTTACACTCCTGCGGTTTTCCATTTTGTCATAGGTTGCTGGCAGATTAGCGGCCTTCCATAGGTGCCGCCAGGCCCCATATCGGCCATGGGCCCCCGTACCGCCTGGTCACGCTGCTGCTGGTCCCACAGTGTGACCTGGGTCCCTGTACGGCCTCCCATTGCTTCCACTCTGCCATGTGCCACTTTCAGGTCTCCTCACACTCCTGTGCTTTTCCATTTTGTCATAGGTTGCTGGCAGATTCCAGGCCTTCCATAGGTTGCCGCCAGGCCCCATATCGGCCATGGGCCCCCGTACCTCCTGGTCACGCTGCTGCTGGGCCCACAGTGTGACCTGGGTCCCTGTACGGCCTCCCATTGCTTCCACTCTGCCATGTGCCACTTTGAAATCTCCTCACACTCCTGCGGTTGTCCATTTTGTCATAGGTTGCTGGCAGATTACAGGCCTTCCATAGTGTGCCGCCAGGCCCCATATCTGCCATGGGCCCCCGTACCTCCTGGTCACGCTGCTGCTGGGCCCACAGTGTGACCTGGGTCCCCTGTACGGCCTCCCATTGCTTCCACTCTGCCATGTGCCACTTTGAGGTCTCCTCACACTGCTGGTGTGTTCAATTTTTTGACATAGGGTGCTGGCAGATTACGGGCCTCCCATTGCTGCTGCCAGGCACGTAATCTGCCATGGGCCCCGTACCGCCTCCTCATGCTGTGACGTTGCAACAAGGTGTAATTCAACCCTACATATGTTAGACCGCCTTTACGAACAGCTAAAGGCCATCACAGATTTCCTGATGTTAAAAGCGGATAAAGGTTCTCCCTGTGTAACTTAGCCCCAGCCATTGTCAGCTCATGCGTGACACCTGCGCTTGCTCAGCCCTTTGAGGAGGCCACGCTATTCGTGAGTCGGCATAGGATGAACGAGGTCAAATCGGCCATGGGCCCCCGTACCGCCTGGTTCACGCTGATGCTGGTCCCACAGTGTGACCTGGGTCCCTGTACCGCCTCCCATTGCTCCCACTCTGCCATGTGCCACTTTCAGGTCTCCCACACTCCTGCTGTTTCCATTTTGTCATAGGTTGCTGTATGGCCTCCCATTGCTGCTGGCTCCACCGCCACACTGTGGCTCCAAACACTGGTTTTGGCCCCGTGACTGGCCAAATGAGTGAAGTGTGCGGTGATGATTCTAAGATCGACGGCACTCATCTGCATGTCATACTGACTGACAGTATTATTTCTCTTCCCCAGCAGACTCCAAGGGCATTTAAATTAAAGGTACAGTGTTCTGCACTAATATTAAGTCTCTCTGAAGCCTAGAAACACCCTTTTTTAAGTTAAATTCACAGCGAATTTATTCGACTCGAATCGAATATTGTCCACGAATTCGCCGAATCAGTCGAATCGAATTTTTCATTTCTTCGCTCATCTCTAATTAAATGTATTGTGTTCTTGCTTTTTTTTTTTTTTAACTGTTTAAACCTCGGTGTGCAGTTCCAAATACAGTTCAAAATAGAGGGCAATTAGGTAGCATATAAGCCATCCATTGACAGCACTGCATTGACATTGGCGGTCCTGGTGCCTGTCAGTACAGGTTTTTTAGGTACTCTTTCAAAGCAACCCCTCCCCCCCCCTCCCCCAGTGCTGAAGGGCAAGTGAATGATGGGTATCAACATGAATGGTTACTACATAGTCAGTTGTCATTAAACCTGTAGTAAACCGCCAGATAAAATATTTAAAAAATTTCCCCTGCAAAATATTATCATAATGTGCTAGTATGCATCACATACTAGCACATTGTGAAAGACTTACCTTAGAATGAAGTCCTCCACTGGCATGCTGACAACGCTGATAGGGCTTCCATTATCACCCAATCTTCTTTCTGGGTTCATGACGGGCTCTGGCCTCTTGAGTGGCCAAGCTGCAACGACACCACGGCCAGAGCTCTGAAGGTATGCCATTCTCTCAGAGTGCATGAGCCGGAGATGTCATCAGTTGCTGGGACACTGAATATCTCCTACATGGTATATGTTTAGGAGATATTCCTTGTACCTACAGGTAAGCTTTATTAAAAGCTTACCTATAGGTACAAGTGTGCAGTGGGAGTATATTGTAAACACTGATTGAGAAAATAAAAGTCCAGCACTCTTCATAGGAAAAAGCTACATTATAATTAGAAAATGCAATAATTAATTCTTTATTCTACTCATACAAACTTTGTTTTAAATGTACCATGTGGATTAGAAAGAAAGATAATATTGACCCCCTTTAGGCCTCATGTACACTGTTGCTAATAATATTAAATAAAATAACGTGAGTTGTTATGCCAAAGCCCCTGATCTCAGTTCAATAAAAGCATATGTGTCCATGTACACATGTAGTAGAGGTTAGGAGCAACAGAGTTTAGGGGGAGTTAAACCTTCCTTGACTAATGCACCATAAATAGGCTTGTCCACTCCTACTCCCCACCCCTTAACCAAATAAACTTTACAAAAAAACATGACACCATTTGGAGTAAAATGGCCAACATGGCCTTTTATTAACAACTTCACATTTTACATACATCAACCGTTCCTTAACGGAAACCAAAGAATTGTTGTTGGTCTTCAAAGGCACCCCCAAATGATCCAAAATGCACCTGCGGACAACCCTATACACTAGGCCTCCAGCCGCAACCAACCAGCTCGGAGACAACCATACCGTCCGCAGTGCAGCACCACCACCTTCCAGTTAAACCTTGGTTAACTGGGAATGTCCACCGGGCCCCCCATACCACTGATGGGTCCCACACCATTGTTTTACCTTCCAAGATGAGAACCGCCTCCAAAGACCAACAACCGCCGCGAACCAACAGAACACCCCCTTTTTTTTTTTTTTATTTCTTCCCTTCCCCCGGGAGAGACCCGAAACCCAACCAAACAGGGAGGGCGGAAGGGAAGCTCTGGTCCTTACTCACGTCCAGCTTCACTGACGCCCCCTCCACAGAACCCCCCACCCTAAGGTGCCACAGACCCCTCCTACTCTCCACCTCTGCCAACCAGATAATCCACACAATCAACTCCCAACCCCCTGGAGCTAACTTTAACTCTTTCCGTTCCCCTACACTACTCTGGGCCTAGTCATGTATGCCCTGCGCTATTTTCATTCTTCCTTATCCACTACGGGCATTTCTTTCCTGAACACAGAAGAATCATGTGCAGAAGAGGAATGCTTTGGTCAAAAAAAAGCTAACCATTGCAAAAACACGTGTAAATGCAACCTGCCTAAATGCTAGTCATTTATTCATGTCAATGGAAAATACTCTGGCCAATCAAAAGAGCAAACGTCCAAGCGCTAAACACGCGTAAACGTGGCTGAGCGCGGCACTATGTTTAGACGCATTTTTGCCCTGTCCAACTAAATGGACTAAATGTCCATTTACAGCTAAATGTCTAGGGGAGTTCATATGGACATGTAGCCTTTTAAATAAGACAAGGGTTACAGTAAGTACATTTTCTCATTTTGCCTTTATTTTTTAGTCTGTGAATGGGCAGCAATTGTGAGGTGAAAGTGCTTTATAAATTAGGTGTCTTGTATGGTACACAACAAATATATGTGTAAATGCATTGTGTATTAAGGGTGCTTATCAGCTCTAGAAAAATGTATATGTTTCTTTGAACACATCAGATGTTAAATAATGGCATCCAGACTGGGGAAATATTTGTCTGCCGTTTTATATACACTATATTGCAGAAAGTATTGGGATGCCTGCCTTTACACGCACATGAACGTTAATGGCATCCCAGTCTTAGTCCGTAGGGTTCAATATTGAGTTGGCCCGCCCTTTGCAGCTATAACAGCTCCAACTATTCTGGGAAGGCTGTCCACAAGGTTTAGGAGTGTGTCTATGGGAATGTTTAACATTCTTCCAGAAGCACATTTGTGAGGTCAGGCGCTGATGTTGGACAAGAAGGCCTGGATCACAGTCTGCACTTTAATTCATCCCAAAGGTGTTCTATTGGGTTGAGGTTAGGACTCTGTGCAGGCCAGTCAAGTTCCTCCACCCCAAGCTCACTCATCCATGTCTTTATGGACCTTGCTTTGTGCACTGGTGAGCAGTCATGTTGGAACAGGAAGGGGCCATCCTCAAACTGTTCCCACAAAGTTGAAAGCATGACATTGTCCAAAATGTCTTGGTATGCTGACACCTTAAGAGTTCCCTTCACTGGAACTAAGTGGCCAAGCCCAACCCCTGAAAAACAACTCCACAATCCCCCTTCCATCAAACTTTAAACTTGGCACAATGCAGTCAGGCAATTCCTCCTGGTATACGAAAATGCCCGGCCTCATGTGGCGAGAGTATGCAGGCAGTTCCAGGAGGATGAAGGAATTGATACCATTGAATGGCCCCAACGCTCAACTGATCTAAATCCAATAGAACACCTCTGGGATATCATGTTTAGGTCCATCCGACGCCACTAGGTTGCACCTCAGACTGTCCAGCAGCTCAGTGATGCCCTGGTCCAGATCTGGGAGGAAATACCCCAGGACACCATCCGTCGTCTTATTAGGAGCATGCCCCGACTTTGTGAGGCATGCATACAAGCACATGGGGGCCATACAAACTACTGAGTACCATTTTGAGTTACTGCAATGAAATTTCAGCAAAATGGGCTAGCCTGCTGCATAATTTTAACACTTTGATTTTCTGGGTGTCTTTGAAATCAGTCCTCTGTAGGTTGATAATTTTCATTTTTATCAAACGATGAAGCATCTTTACGTTCCTAACATTACCCAGTCCATATCAGTATAGCTATCCAGCATGATATTTTTCCCCATTGAGATCTGATGTGTTTTCAAAGTTTTCCTTTAATTTTTTGGAGCAGTGTATATACTTACTTACCTACCAATGCTGCAGCTGTCCTCCATTGGCTGTAAAGTGGCGTACACACTATGAGAAAATTGGAAGAAAAAATAAAGTGCTGGAGGCTTCACAGGCAGCATCAGATACCCTGGTAGGCCAGGAGTTGGGAGGGAGGGAGGGAGGGAGGGAGTAGAGTCAGCTGTCAGAGAAACCTACATCTCTGTTCCTGACAAAAGGCATAATGAACCCCAATGCAAGAACAGCACCAGTAAGTGCTTACTGTAAACATGTTGTGTATGTGAGCAGCCTGAAAAGTGTATTGTGACACTGGCTCTATAAATTTGAGCTTCAGCTTTCTCAAGACCTGGGCTGCTACCTCATCGCAGGCTATCCCCTCTTCAGTCTATCATGAATGCTGCTGCCAGACTTATCCACCTTACTAACCGTTCTGTATCTGCCACCCCCTCTCTGCCAATCCCTCCACTGGCTTCCCATTGCCCAACGGATAAAATTCAAAACATTAACAATAACATATAAAGCCATTTATAACTCTGCTCCAAATTACATCTCCAATCTTGTCTCCAAATATCACCCAAACTGTACTCTCCGCTCCTCGCACGATCTCCTGCTCTCTAGCTCCCTCGTCTCCTCCTTCCATGCTTGTCTCCAGGACTTCTCCAAAGCTTCCCCCATCCTCTGGAACTCTCTACCCCAATTTATCAGACTATCGCCTACTCTGCTCATTTTTAGGCGATCTCTGAAAACCTATCTCTTCAGGGAAGCCTATCCTGCCCACAGCTAATAATGGAATCTTCTATTCCTCCTACCAGTTCATCGCTCACAGTTACTACCTTTTGTACCACTAGCCCCTCCCTCTTAGATTGTAAGCTCCAAGGAGCAGGGCCCTCCTAACCCTCTTGTATTGAACTGTAGTGTTGCTGTATTGTCTCCCGTTATATTGTAAAGCGCTGAGCAAACTGTTGGAGCTATATAAATCCTGTATAATAATAATAATAATATATTCATGGCATTTATTGTGTGCTGCTCCACAGCAACAAAGGCTAATGTAGTTTGGAGATGCACAGAAAACCTTTGCTATATCAGGTTTCTGAAGTTACAGTAAGCTTAAATATGATGTTGAATATTAGCCTTTCTCTCTAACATTGCACCCAAAAACAAAATGCTGACACAGGTGAGTAGTTTTATTAGGGCTGTTATTGACTGAATGCTGTTGTTTTCCCTATAGTTCTCTATTTCAAGCTACTAAGAGTTAATTATTTTTGAGAAAATCGTTGCCAGTATCCCCTGGTTCCCAGTCAGTACTGTAGA